CCGATGCATTCACGTAAGCATGGTAGTTTTTAATCTTTTGCTCTTTAGTCTCTGAGCATTGCCTAATTTTTCGTTATTCTTGTAAAAAAATTCTGATGTCAAAAACATTTACAAACTTAGTTTCGTGATTTTCTGTTTACTTGACGCATTTTTCTAAATTTCTTCCCCTGGATTCAGTTACTTCATTGTTACATGATACATTTATCTTAAACCACCAGTATTCATTCATTCAATTATCATTTGAACCACAAATTAGGGAAAGAAAAAACTAAACCTAAAAAACAAATTGAGGCAAGAAGAGAACAAAAACCCTAAATTCCAAAATCAATCTTAATAATTTGAGAAAATACTTTAGAAAATTACCATCAAAAGTGTTAAGAGGAGGAATGCATTCTGAAATTTCTTCCATGCCATCCTCCTTGCATGCCATATCCAATATCTTCTGCAACTCAATGTCCATCTGGAGTTCTTCATCTGTTATTATCAGGTCATCCATTGTGGTTTTTCACAAGAAGTAATAAAGAGGACAGAGGAACGGAAAGAGAAGAAGCAGTGGAAATTTCAGAATAGGTCTCGTTAGGCTCGGCGGAGGGAGTGGGAGGCTTCGAAGAAGCAGTGGAAATATTTGCGGCAGCGAGGGAATCGGGCTGCGAGAGGTGTCTGGGTTTGGGGAAAAAGCAGGAGGTGTCTGGGTTTTGGGGAAGAAGAGGGAGAAAGCAAGGGAAAAAGCAGGGGAGTGGGAAGAATCGGGCTGCTACTCCAATCTACAACACAATCAAAAAATAAAAAACAACTTTAAAAGTCAAAAAGTAAAAAGGGTATATATGGAAGAGTAAATAGTAAGATATCAATTAAGTATTAAAAAATAAGAAGGGGTGTGGGAAAGGTAATTAAGGGTGTGTGAAAATCACAACCCTATCTTTATTGCCCTTGAGTGTTTAGGGTGCGTTTGTTGCACCGGACTGTCTCGGACTGGACTAACTTCAGGGATTAAGCTGGACTGGCTTATACTAGACTAAGTTGGACTGATTTAGTGAAGCGTTTGGTGCAGTGTCGGACTAAGAAGCAGGACTGCAATATTATATTATTTTATATTAATTTAATATATATTAATTAATATTTTATTATTACTTTATCTTTATCTTTTTTATATCTTTTTCTAGAATCATCCTTCTCCAATATCTGTAATCTGTAACCTTTCATTTTTCACTTCGCCTCTCCATCTCTCTTTCCCTTTTTTCCCATTTTTGTCTCTCCGCCTCTCCCTCCTATTTCCCTTTTCTCCCCATTTTTGCCCCACCTTTTTTTCGGGGTCATGTTTTGCAGAAAAACAAGATCTTTGAGAGACCTACAGGAGGGAAAGAGAGAGATATCGAAATCAAGGGTTGCTTTCTTGCATGTTTTGATTCTTCCAAAAACAAAAAACGCAGGAGTAATATGATGTCCTCTGTGAGTTTGTTCTTGCATCTTTGAGAGACCCATAGGCAGTGTCTCACTCCCCTCTTCTTCTTTTTTCTCTCACTTCACCTCTGTGCTCTCCCATCGCTCTCTTTGTATTTCTTTTTTCTTCAGATTTGGTACCTGTATTTTCTGGGAAAATCATAGTTTGGTCAAGAAAAATCACTTAAAGTTACTGCACTCATGCTAAAGTTTTCAATCTTGTTGTTGGCGAAAGAATTTGGGTCACCATGAGACCCGTTTTTGCCATCGTTCGGGTCGACCCAGATGGCAAAAAACCCCAAATCACCGACCCAGGTGCCAAAATGGCGCTAGGTTTACCGGACGACGGAGATCGGCGACAGTCGTTTCTGGTTTGGTCAGTGGAGAAGGGAGGGTTGATGCTGCTCATGCGGGTTTGAGCGACGCTACTTGCAGAAGAGGGAGACGGGACTAGCAATCCCGTGGTTGTTGGGGATCCTCGTTAAGAACTTGTAGCGAGGTGTATAATCCGAGCGAGTCCGACCTAAGCTCATTAAATCTAATCCTGGTGCAGATCAAACAAGGGACTACAATCCAGTCCAGTCCAGTTCCCTCTAATCCGGTCAAACAAACGGGCCCTTAGTGGTCGTGTGTGTGTAAACGGGCTAAGGATTTGGACCATGACATGTTTTTCCTAAGTTTTGGGAACCAATTGGAAGTAAGCTTTTGTTTGTGGGTTGGTAGCCCAAAATTGGACCACACACACACACTCATACCACTTATGTTGACCCTCTCTCTCTCTTCTCTCTCGGATTTCCTCCATTGTCCGTACAATTGTACGAACAACTCCTTTAGCAACCATTTCATGCATGGATCGAGGCTGTGAAGGTGATCTTTGTGTTCTTTGCAAGTCCATGAGTTCATCCATGCCATTAGTTCGACGTGAGAAGTCGTAGAACTCGAGAACTAGAAAACCCCAATTTGGTGCACTGTTCATCTAACGTGATCGCAGACTTTTCTTCAAGTTTGGAGGTGTTAGGGAGCCTTAGAACTTCTTCACGAAGCTTAGGGAAGAATTTTGGAAGGTTTTGGACGTTAGGAAGCTCGGGTTTGACAAGTTGTACAGGGGGCCGGATTATCGTGATTTTTTCGGTGAGATTCCGTGAGTTTTAGGACCTAAAAGTGGTAAGGTTTTGTTCCTCTCATCCTAAGCTTCATTTTGGTATAAAATTCGTGAATTTTTGTTAAGAATTGAAGAAGATATGACGATTAGAACTTTTTCCCAGTTTCCGGCGACGGCGACAAAATCTGGTGACTCGCCAGAGAAGAAGGCGAATATTCCGTCAAAGTTGACGGAATATTCTAACGGCGTCAGGTATATTTAACGGCATTTTCTATATTTTAATGGAATCTTCCCTAACGGCGTTACAAATTCCATCCACTGTGTCAGGCATGTGCCTGTGCGTGGCCGCACGTGTGGTCGTGCCTTGGCCGGCGCATGGGTGCTCGGAAAATTTTTCTAAAAATATAGGGATGTTCCTGAGGTTGAGTAGGCCACAGTGGTATATTCAAATAACCCAATTGAGCAATGTATGAGAAGTTATTACCTAGTTTTGTTTATGTGCTTTAAAATAACGTTTATATAGTTGTTTCGCATATAGGTGAGACCTATTCAGAGGACGAGCGTAATCAAGCGAGACTCGGGGGCTATGACCCTTCTACATATGAGTGAGTGGGTTTTTGGTTTTCAGTATATACTTATATACTTGGTATTTTTCCCATAAAATGTGTTTAAATGAAATTATGCTTTGAAATGTCATGCCTATTGATTTATGCTTAGACTATAAATTAGTATAGTATGCATAAATGTGATTTGACGTTGTGGACGCTCATATAAGTACCAGGTGAGTTGTAGATTGTTTATTTGAATTGATGATTATGTGAAATGTGTTGATAGCTCATAAACCTGCACCCCGATGTTAGTGCTCCTGCCCGTGGTTAGGGCACAGTTCTTCACGTGATGTTCACCTCCCGCACCATACGCTCACCTTGGATCCAAGTTAGGTGCACAATCCTGTCTTTCAGACCACTTTAGGTGGTTCTAACTCGTGTGCAAGCATACTTGTTGAGCTATAGATTCAGTCGTACAGGCCACTTTAGGTGGATCCGGCTGATATGTTATTTCTCATGAGTTAATTCACCTGAGTTACTTATTCAGTTATTTTGAGATATTTGGCATGGCATACTTTTGACTATTCCGAGCATGGTTTTGAGATATGTATATCTAGGAAATTATACAGGTTTTACGGCAATGGGTTACTATCTTTGATGTTGAAATGGTTTTAGAAAACTTTGTTTTTGCCCACTCACACTTTTTGTTTTGCGCCCCTCCATGTTTTAGGTAGGAGTGCTTGTTGGTGGCTTACGAGGATTTGACGGAGGTTCTGACAGATTATCACCAATGTATGATCACTTTTGGGTGTTGTATAATTAGTATTCGTCCTGTTAGACTACACTTATGCTACTTATGCTCTAGTTGTGCAATCACACTTAATATCGCTCTTGCACCGTATCTTATCTAGTGCTCTAGTTGGTTTGTTTTTTTTTTCGTTTGTTTATTCGCATTTCTTATACTAATATTGCTTTCGCACTGTGCACATGGCTACGTCACCCTCACGTGACGGCTAGCATGCCTCAATCTAGGTCGGGATGTGTCAATTATTTTATGGATATTATTTCTCGAATTGATTAATTGAATGAATGGAATTATATTTATGCATGTGACTGATTCAATTAATTTATTTCTATGTATGACTAGTGGAAAGTTAGTTGTTTGGCTGATAGTGCCAGCACGCACACCATATTGTGTGAAAAACAATATTTTACTAACTTCATACCTAAAAATGCAAATCTGACAACCCTTTCAAGCCCATCCAACTTGATAGAAGGATACGAAAAGGCCCATATAATGTTGTCCAATAGTACTGAATTAACCATTAAAGCAACACTCTATTCTCCACGTTTCGGAAGAACGGTGCTGACTTTTAGAGATATTCGAGATAATCAATATCATGTTGAAACCACTGAAGAGTATGATTCTGAATTTCTTTGTATCATTTCTTACGAATATGACCAGAAGCGTATTCATGAGAAGTTGGAACGTCTTCCGAATGGGTTGTACATAATAACCATTTGAGGAATTGAGACTTATCACGTGGCCAGCCTTATGCCCGAATTCCAAACCACTTTGTTGTTTTGGCATGATCGAATGAGAAATCTCCAAACGAGATATGATGTGCCGTATCCTCAAAGTATCACATGGGCATCACTTGAAATCTTATATGAGTCATCCGCTTTGCAAAACATGCATTTTTCTTTACCAAGGGAAGGATTTATCCCTTCCATTTAAGGAAAAAAATAAAAATAAAAATCTGAAGATAATATTCGTAACGGAAGAAGAGAGAAGAATCCAAAAAAGCTGGTAACGTGTTTGAGTATCGAAAACCAGGATGTACGCGTGGGGTTTCGAAACCTTCTTCGACCGCCACCGAGTCACCGACCCTCTTTTCCTTTCGTCATCTAAAGGGAAAACTCCCACCCTATATAAACATCCAATTTCGTAATTTCAGACAAAACCGAGGGCTGCAGAATATAAAAAACACCAAATCACAAAAACCAGGGCCTTTTTATAGGAAACTAAAAGCGTCGAAACGACACTTCTTAAACCTCCGGAGTTTCTTTCTTTTGGTAATTGGCAAAGAACTAAATATATATATACACACACACAGATATATTGTATGGGTGTGTATATATATATGTACCCTTTTTCTTGATTGTTCTGCTTATCATCGGATCTGCCTCGCCAAAAATTCACAGACCTCCATATCAAAAAGCCTCAGAATTTGTAATTTTTGCTTCATTTTTTCGTTTTTTTAATTGTTTTGTTTTTCTGATTGGACTCACAGAATCTGTGGTGGTATTCATTTCTGGGATTGTTGGGTTGCTGTGGTTTTTGAGTAATGAGTTGGACAAGGAAACAAGGTGGCACTCATCCTCCACACAATCCATGGACTAAACTGCAGAACAGAAGGCCACAGCACCACCAAGGCATGTTTTCTAATTTCTAATTTTGTTTTTTAATTTTCTTGGAATTTTGAGCTGTTGCATGAGCGGTAGGCTTTAATTCTTGTGAAAGATTGTATCTTTGAGGTGGGTTTTTGGTTTAGGAAATCGGGTTCTCTTTTGATTTCCATATCATTGGCTCTGTCTGTGTTATTTATAATATTTGTGCTTTTTTGTTGAACCATTGATGAATGAGGTAATGATTTGCTGGTTTTGATGGGTAAAATCTTAATTGAGTAGGAAAGTAATTGAGATATAATCTGTAAGTGAGGTTTGTAACCAAGTTTGGGTTTAAAAAATGAGGTTTTAAATATTAAACAAGGAAATCTAATGTTTCTCTGTAAATTAAAAGTAAAGTGGGACCAAAGAGAAACTAATGTCTTTCCTCTGTTTCTCCCCAGATTTACTATCCAAACCAGTGTCCATATGTTTTCTCCTGAAATTACTCACAAGTCTTAATCAAATCATAATCAGGATGTCTTCTCAAATCTACCGAACGGCGTAAAGTTTACCAAAAAAAAATTTCTGCTGGATTACTTGTACTGTGAAAATTTTATTTTCCAATCTAAACATGAGGAGCAATTGTGATTTAGGTAATCCCCCTTCTCAAACGTTAGGCTAACCTTTTTTCACTCAGTTAAAGCATGTGTAAGTTTGTTAACAGTTTCAGAACAAAGACACTTCCTGCTGAGGCTCTTAACGTTTTTTTGTACTGCGTGTTTTTGTTATGAGGTTAGTTTTGTTTAGAGTAAGATGTTGTTCTGACAATGATGCAAGCTGTGGCTTTTTATGGCAGAAGTTTTATGCTGAAAATGTAGAGGTGTTCAAGTCAGGTTTAGTTGTTAATTTTCTAAGTAGATTTTGTCCCAAGGGCTAGGGTTTTTGGTGAGGTTTGTGTTTTGTTACTGGTTTTAGTTAGCATGTGTGCATGGGATAGTGCAGTTTCTATATTTGAACTGCGAAAGTTTTAAATTGGAGGTACTCCCAGCCTTAATGAGAGTAACGACACTAGGGTTTGGGAAGTGGTTTGTGCTGATTCGGTTAGTTTAGCCGTTAAGGTTAATGTGAGCGTGAAAGTTTTGAATTGGAGGTATTTCTGGGTTTAACGAGAATAACGACACTAGGGTTTGGAAAGTGGTTCTTGCTGATTCAGTCAAGGGTAATGTGAGCATGAAAGGTTTAAATTGGAGGTATTCGGTTTTAATGAGAATAATGACACTAGGGTGTGGAAGGCGGTTCTCACTGACTTGGTTAGTGTAGCCATTAAGGTTAAAGTGAGAGTAAAAGTTTTAAATTGGAGGTATTCCCGGCTTTAATGAGAATAATGACACTAGGGTGTGGAATGTGGTTCTCGCTAATTCAGTTAGTGTAGCCGTTAACACCTGAGAGTAAAGTTTTAAATTTGAGGTATTCCCGGCTTTAATGAGAATAACGACACTAGGGTTTGGAAAGTGGTTCTGCTGATTCGGTTAGCTTAGCTGTTAAAGTTAACGTGAGATGGATATATTGTAAATAGAAAAACGAAAAATTGTGAAACTGCTATCAAAATCGACACTTTTCAAGGTTGTTTCATATTTCCATCTCGGTGATCCAGCATTGTATCTTCTTCTAAGTTGCATCATTGTTCCATCTTTGATGATTTATTGCATCTTTTTCCCCTTTCAGGAAGTTCTTGTTTGTCTAGATTTTTTAACTGTTATCCAAATGTAGTATATTTGTATGTTCATGATGATTGAATTGACAGTTCTCTTCTGTTTGCTTCGCAGATAGTTGGCAATTAGGTGTGCCTTACTGGGAAAAGCAATTCTGTTTGATTGTTGGCTCAGTTCCATGGCGGAAGGTCGTAGAAACAAACAAGTATATGTATCTCTATGAAAGCATCGTTCAATGGAATGATTCTGCAAATTTGGAGACATTCAACAATGAGAAATACCGCTTTTGGGCAGCAATTAACGGCGTGCCTTGTAACATATCATTGCCAGATCCTGACATTTATATTGATGACATAGATTGGAATTCAAGCATTGATCCTGAACTTATTTTGGACTTGGAAAGGGAGCCTGAACCCACCGATGATGAGAACCAAGATAATGGTGTCACTCTTGTTAATCCTCTCCTTTTAGATCAGTCATTTGCGTGCACTGGATGGGGCGATGCTGAAGAGGACTTCAAAACTAAAGAGCATCCTGCAAACTGGGGCTGTGGATGGGACGATGCTGAGGAGGACTTCAAAAATAAAGAAAATCCTGCAAACTGGGGTTGTGGATGGGGTGATGCTGAGGAAGACTTCAAAACGAAAGAAAATCCTGCAAACTGGGATTGTGGATGGAATGCGGATAATAAAGAAAATCCGTGGGGGCCTGATTCTGCCCAGACTCAGAGCAAAGCAGCTGGGGGAGGATGGGACGACAGTTGGAACGGAAGAGCTGGTGGAGCTTCATGGGGAAATTCAGATGGAAATGGCAGGAAGAAAGATGGTGGCAGTTGGTACAACTCAAAGCATAAGACCTCTGGATATCAAGGTGACTACCACCATAAACGCGGAGGGTGGAGGAACAAAGGGTGGGGCAACGGTGGGAGAAGGAACACCAGAGTTCATGTTGGTTGCGAGAACCTGGCGTGAGGGGGTAAAACTCAGAAGTGTAAACCAAATCTCGAGACTCGAATGGGTGGGGAAACCAGTTTTGCGTGTGTCTCGGGTAAGTGATGTGTATTGTAGTTTATGTTTTCCATCGTCTTTGGCTGTTTAGGGCAGAGTATATAACAGTGGGGTAGTATAAATGTGAAGTGAAATCGGCGAGGTCGTACCAATTTTATTAATTCAGTTCGTATGTGTAGCATTTGTGCAATGTATATATGGAATAAAAAGGTCACCTGAGATATTGTGGCAGGCCAGCCCAGCCCCTGAAAACTGGTTGGGAGAGTGCCTGTATATCTGAGGCGATATATGTTTGTTGATTGTCGCAGCAAGTGTAAAATGAAATCAGAATATCGAAGTGCAGAGGCAGTCTGTTTTTGGCTTATATTTTCTTGATTTCTTTTGTTGGTTAGTGTTCACTGTTCAGAGAGCGGGATAATGACTTATGTGGATCGGGTTCACTATCCTCGGGAGACCAATATTATCATGCCGTGTGGTCCACTATGGATTTCCAATCTAATAATATCATGCTACGTGTGTTTATACGTATCATATTAGTATTGAATGAGGGTGCCACAAGCTGTTAAAATAAAATTGGTACGGTCAAAAGTGTTTGGTTGGGAAAATTGATTGGTGGAGGCGGATGAGCCCTTTTGGTGGTGTCTGCGCCCTTGATCGTCTCATGATTCTGCAGAAAAAAAAAATTGGAAAATTAACACATGCACAAAAACAGAGAGAGACTTTTGTTTGGGAAAGTTGACTGATGGAGACGGAGAAGGCGTTTTTTTTTTCCCCAACTTCTTTTCCGTATTCGTTTTACTATTTTGCCCTCAATTCGTGCTGCTGTTGCGAAATGCCAAAATAGGACTAACACTCATACTATCAGAACTCCCCAGCCAAAATTAGGGTAAATTGTAACAATGATCCCTTAATTTTAATCAAATTGAAGTAATGGTTCATCAACTAAAAATTCATTACCATTGGTCCCTCAACTTATAAAAATGTATAGCTATAGTCATTTTCATCAATTTCGTCAAAATAAGTTATGTTGGAATAACCATTTATATAATTAGACTCCCTCAACTCATCAAAGTGTGTAATTATGGTCATTTTCGTCAATTACGTCAAAATTTTTGTTAAACGAGTTATGTTAGAAGGACTATTGCTACAATTAGGTTAAAGTTAAGGGACCATTTCTCCAGTTGAATTAAAGTTAAGGGATCAATGATAATGAATTTTTAGTTGAGGAACCATAGTTGCACGTTTTGATGAGTTGAGGGACCAATGATAATGAATTTTTAGTTGAGGAACCATTACTCCAATTAAGTTAAAGTTAAGGGACCATAACTACAATTTACTCGCCAAAATTATATTAGTAAGCAGAAATAATCAAGGGTAATTTTTTTTTTAACAGACGATATTATCTACTTTAAGGAGAAAGAAGGGAAGATGTGGGCTTAATTTCTGTTGACCCTAGAAATTACAAAGCCTACGTGGCGCGCAGGCCGAATATATTCTAAGCTAACTACGTCCTTCGGTGATTGCGGGGCGTGCCAACTCGTCGGCCGAGCTCGGCCGAGGAGTAAATTTGTTGATGTTGCGTTGGGTCGCGCTACTGACTTCTGCGTCTTGCGATTGCGGCCGAGAAAGGAACGCGTCTCGGCCTCTTGGGTTCTCGAGCCTGAAGACAAGGCTGCTATTTCTTACAAAGTTCACGAACCGAATTCGGCTTGCAATGTGCCGAATGTAATAACTGTAACACCTCACCTCGCCGAGAAGGCTAATGAGATGACCTCGACCAACAAGGATTCGAAAACCCTTCTCGACTGAGACTTGGATAGGCAATCGACCGTTCTCGCCGCAGTGCTGTTGATGCCAACGGAAGATACTGCGAGACCGACCGACTCTACGGTGACAGAGCTATCTATGCCGACTTAAGATATCACCGGTTGCTTCCACAGTGCTGTTGATGCCAACGGAAGATGTGTCAGCGAAAAAGGAAAAGAAAAAGATCTCAAGTTGTGAGAGTTTGCGCAGGGCAATTTTTGTGTTGATTTGCAGGGGGCTCTTCCTGATGCACAGCGTCCTCTATTTATAGTACTGAACCTTGAGTCCGAGTTTAAATCCTACTCGGACTAGGTTTCCCTCTCCGGATCACCTCGACCAGTCCTACATCTACTAGGACTATGAACCTAGTCCTTAGCTAAGCTGGATTAGTTTCCTGGATATCCGATCTCGTCGAGACTCCCCATTGCACTAGGATTCGTCCTAACCGCCCTAGGTTTGGACGCCCACGTGTTGACCGATCCATGGTCCTTCTGCCGCCCAGCCTCCTGGACCGAGAGTGATCCTACCCTCGGCCCAAGCTATTATTTTGGGCCCAAACATTGCCCCCTCGCTTCTGAGGTCCTCGACCTGAAACCTTCGGCCAAGTTTCGGCCTTGAAGAAGCGAATCTACCACTCAGGATCCTAATACCCGAGTTCCAAGGCGCATTTATTGAGCACGATCGCACGATCTTGATCCTGCTAACCCACTCGCCACGTGGCGCCCTCTAACATGACTAATCCCCCATAATGACGTCTAAGGCGTGCGGCAGCCTGAACCGCCTTGCCATTATGACCACCATCTCAATCCGCGAGCCACTACCTCAGTCCGTGAGCCCACTTGTCATCGTGCGGGCGTCGAACCGTCTTTCGTCATTAATTTCGCCGTCACACGCAATCATGCGCCCCCAAAACCCTAAAACCTTCGGTCTTCTCAACCGCGTTCCCCAAAGGTTCATTATGATCAGTAACTCATTCGGTCGATTTTGCCCTTTGTTTTGAATTTCGAACGATTGCTCTTCCCCCATAACTCTATAAATACCGAAAATCCCTCATTTGTATTTTTACGCTCTCAAACTTCCTGAAATCCTCTGCCATTGATTTCTAGTGCATTTCTCCTATTCCAAGTCTTCGTCTTTAAATCCCCAACCCAGACAACCCTTCTACTCCGTGCTTCTTTCTCACAATGGCGTCCTTCATCTCCAAGCTTTCCGGGGAATGTGACCAACATCAGAAGATTATTGATCGGAGCTCTATCAAGACCATCCGGTTTGAAAACGACATGAGCACCCAGTACCAAATCCTGGGTCCTCTCTTCAAGGCTACAATACCGCCGACTATCATCGGCCTTCTGCAGGAGCACTGCCTAACACCCTTGCTTCAAGGGTTTGAATGGCCGCGATGGGATGCGGCTAAACCCCAGGGTTCCTGGCCTTCGACGACCACATCCTGGGCAGCCTGGGTCGTTTGAATGGAACGACTCTTCGGCGAGCAGTGGAAGGCCCTTGGCATCTACGACGCCATCCTCCTTTTGTCTATGGAAATCGTCCCCGACAAGGAGCTTCTCCAAGCCGCTCTGTGCTTCTGGTGCTCGGCCACCAACACAATGGTCCTTCCTCTGGGTCCCATTGGTCCCACCATCCTGGATATCACTGCCATTCTGGGGACTTCGGCGACCGGGATCCCCGTCGACGCGACCCTCTCTGGGCATAGGTCGAATATCGACCTGAAAACGCTCTTCGATCGTCGGGCCTTCGAGACCTTGAACCGTGACGGTCACATCCCGTCGAAGGAAGATATTCAGAAGCTCCACAAGAACTTCTGTAATTACAACACCCTTTATCTTCACTTCGCCGGTCGAGGAGAAGAGGATCTACGAGAAGGAGAGCATGAAGCCTTCCTCTTCTACTGGTACAACAAATACATTTGTTGTACCAAGTCAAACAAGTGCTTGGTCGAGAACATGCCGGTAGCCGAAGCCCTGGCTAGTGGTCACGTCTTGGCACTGAGTTCCAACATTCTCGCCCAACTTTTCCGCTGCCTGGCCGAGGCGACCCTCCACAAGGTCGACCCACACCAGAATGGTCCTCTCTGGGTCTTCCAACTCTGGCTGCAGGTATACTTCGCCTCCCTTCGGCCGGCCATAGCTGAATTCTCACCAACAGAGGCGCTTAGACCTCAGCTGGCCTCTCGACCGACACCTCCCCATCAAGCCGAAGAGGTATTTCGGTACCTCTTCGCTCTCGACGACTTCTCCAACGACGAGTTCCTCATATGTCGTCGTCGGGACTATCCTTCTTCCATCAGGCTGCCTACCTCCCCATGGAGCGCGGAGGAGGACGCCGATCTTCGTCAGACCTGGGGATCATTTGTGCTTGCTCGCGACCTCCCTCTCGGCTGTGATGGGAAACGGTCAGGTTGGGAAGTATATCATCCGAACTTCCTTGCCCGATAGCTCGGCTACCTTCAGGGCTGCCCTATCCCCCTTCTCTCCTCCCGAACGGTCCTAAGCCGTGGACGCGAGCCTCGTTCCTCTGAGAAGGAGTGTAGAACCGCCGTGAGGGAGTTCCAAGAGCGCTGCCAAAAATTCCGCCTTCGACCAGCCACCCCGGAAACCCATTGCACCGACACCTTTGGTGAGTGGTGGGAGAAATACACCCAGGAATTCCTTGGTACGCCGGTCGAAGATGTGCTTAGCAGACTCTTCGGTGACCGGCCTAAGAAGGCATCGGCCCCCCATCCTCAAGGTATCTGTTCCATCTTTTTTCCTTTCCATCAACCTTGCATATTGATTTGCCTTGCTGAATTGTCTTTATCTTTTTAGGTAGCCGGCCTTTGAGAAAGACGGAGGCAGTTGCCGTTGCCACGGCCGGGAAAAAATCGGTCGTGGCACTAAAGGACAAACCCGCTGGTAGGGCCGCACTGGACAAACCCGCTGGTAGGGCCGTGCTGATCAAACGGCCTCGCCAAGAGGTCGAGCCGGCTGTCGAGCCTTCCCCGCCTGCCAAGCGGGTCAAACAAATGGCGAAGAAAGGTGCACGGGAGATCCACGTTATCTCCAGTCACACGACGACTCCCAGTGCTTCCCTTTCTCCCGCCGCCGGCCATTCTGTGGTCGAGAAACAGCCGGCTTTGGCCGCAGAGACGGCCCCAGCGCGACCTGCCTCTGTGGCCGGCGAATCAGTCGTCCCTCCCTCTGTCAAGAAGGCACCTGTCTCACAACAGGCGGCTTCTACGACCGAAGGAACCTCTCCCAAGAATCCAAAGCCCCCGGTCTTCGTGTTGGAAGAGAGTGAGGGGAGCGACGAGGTCCCGCTGGCGCATCGTCCTCATACTCGTCGACAACCTCCTCCAGTACCAGAGATGGCGGTCCAAACCGGCCCTTCTTCGGCTAATCGTGGCAAGCGCACGGTCGAAGAACCGACCCCGGTGGCCGAACCTCTCGTTCCTTCTCAGGACCAGGGCGTCCCTGCCACCTCTGAAGCAGCTACGCCAGTCGGCCCATCGGCAGCCGACCGTGGCAAACGGCTACTCGAGGAACCCGAGGCCACGGCGGAATC